CTTTCTTACAAATATTAAATTTAAATATATTTTTCATTTTGACAAATTGCTTTTTAGTTATGCTTTGATGTGCCTTTTGCCTTTAAAATCGACTCTACGAGACTAGAGTTATAGTATTGTATATAAAACATTTTTTCCCCTTAATCTTCTTAAAGAAATGAATTATTATAAAAATTATAAATTTAAAATATTAACTGTTAAATATATAGCAAATTCTGTACAGTTAATATTTTTATTATTTATTTCATTCCACACACCATTAAAGGGCTTAAGGATACAACAAATGATTTCAAACTATCACTATTTTGCGAAAATTGTCGAAGTTCGTTAAACGATTTGTCAGTTTAACTATTAATTGTTCTTCGCCATGTTGTCGTTGGCCTACCTCTACGCCGGGTTCGCTGTGGATTCCATGTTAGCGCTGCATGCAGGATATCATCAAAAGGCTTACGCAGGGTATGGCCTATCCACCCATATTATCGCTTTTGAATTTCAACATTAATAGACGTTTGATTAGTTTACCTCCAGAGTTCTAGATTTGATATCGTTCTTGGTTGATGGTTGATGAAAGTTTATTATGTCTTTTTAGTCTGCTCTGTTACAAGCCAAGTCTCTAATCCGTATAATAAGACAGACTTAACGCATGCATTAAAAATGTTTACAGCTAATAAATTAATATATATTCAAGGAAAGTAATACTCTTACCGGCAATAATACAAATAATAATAATTATCTTTGATTAGAAATTCTCCAGGAAAACTAAAGATATAGTTATTATTTTACTCAATCGTATCTTCGCTTTTATTAAGAGCATATAGTTCAAATAAAGTTTTTCCATTCTAATATGTCTAGAATCTAATGTCGAATGTCTCCATGGCATTAAATTACCATTGCTCTGTGTGAATAGAAGGAAACATGTACTAAGACATCTATAAGGCGACATTTTTGAGATGCTTGATTCTTTCTTATGAAGTGTGTTGCCTATCCAAAGCTATTGTAATTTTAAATGAAGCCCATTCACATGCAATCAGAATCGGAGTTTGAAATGGTGTTTTACCAAAATATGTTACAAACACGATGTACGCAATTATATCCTACATGACAGATTTCCTAAACTTATGAGTGCTCGAGCAGAAGAATAGAATTTTTGTGATGCTTGAGTTAAAATTATGGGTGTAGTATTACCTAAGAGATTATGTGACTACCGAAACTTCTTCATATTATGGAATTCACTATGAGCTTTTGATATTGTACTAGGACTTCATTACCTATTCCTTCCTATCATAATATCGTTAAGAAAATAAAAACTGTCGACATTTTAGATATTTTATGAAACGAGATTCTTAATTATTTTTCGCTCTATTGCTGAGTTTAACAACAGTCATAAATTGCCGAAGAGCGCTTACAAAGCTCTATGAATACTGGAATATGCACCTGGAATGAGTGCCGGAACACTAGGGCATGTAAGGTAGCTATATGTCTGATAAACTAGCCACACAGGGAACTACCGCTGAAATTTTTTCTTGAAAGAATATAGTAGAATCATCACTTTTGGTAAGCAATTAAGAAATTAAAAATATATTAAAAGAACGATTAAGTATCTTCTTTGCAATTGTCCAGCTTTATAAAAAATTTGTAAGAGTACACGAAGTAAACTGTTCTAGATAGAGCTAAAATAGACATATTGCCTATTTTGTTACTTGCGGCGCTCTGTATTTTGTTTTGCGTTTGCAAGAGCGAGGGATTCCATAGGTGGAAATCCAAAATTTTCATTGAGATGCCCCGCAGGGATATCGGTCTTTTTATTAGCTTACTTACGGGTCATTGTAAACTAGGATACCATGCTAGAAGATTACGTCTCCCTTTCAGTGAAATTTGTCGTAGCTGCGGCGAATTAATACTCTAGGAGCTCCCTTTCTTGAGGACCTTGACCAATTACAAGACTTGACATTTTATGCTTCGCCAAAAGTTCTAGGTGGTTTTAAACCATGAGTTTTTCCTATATAAACGATAACACAATAAGCCAATAGTCCTAAGTGGATACACAAGGGATCGCAGTAATAACGTAACCTAACCTAGGTTTCTAGTTTCAAATTTAAAACAATTAAAATTTTATTTATATTAAAATAGTAATGAGTTGCTTAATATCTAAAATATAGAAATTTATATAGAAATTGAAGTTATATATTTTGCTACTAAAAATGAGAAAATTTTTCGTGATGTATTTAGCCACACCTTGTTATATTTCAAATACTCGTCTGAGTTATGAATAGCAATTTTTTGAAAATATTACGAATATCTGAGAAAAGATGGTGTAATGTAATTTTATGTCGACACTTTATTACTTAAAGTAATAAACTGGAATTAGGATATAAATCCTAGATAAGGATGTAAGTATAAAATTACGATGCATAACTCGAATTTCGAAAATATGTGTGCCATTTAGGTATAAAATTTATAACTGCACATATATAATATATAAATCATCATATAAATCATCAGTTATGTATTTACTAATAGAAGAAGATTATATATATACCATATCAAAAATTCTGGTTGGATAAGATATATCCATTATATTCATCAAGCACGTATTGACAATTTCAAGATAAATGCATTTTCATTAAGTGCGCCTTTAATAAGAGGAGAAAATATTTAAAATCCTTTTTCAAGCTTGAAATAAGAAAAGAAAAAGTTGATAACCCAAAAGTGGAAAGGTGTTTGTAGTGTACGAAATAATATCGCTCCTATTGCAGAAGAGAAATAGAAAAGGTACTGATGCTGAACGCTGTTAAAAAAGCATTTTGCACGCGAATATTCTTCATATTTATTTTGGGTTATTGGACTAAAGCCAGAAACATAAAAATTGCAACGCTGCAAGAAGTAAACGGAAATATCTGAAAATAGGAGTGAAATGCAAGAGGAAGGTAAGAAAAACTGCACATAAAATGCACTATGCAACCAAAAGTGTTCGATAACAGAATAGGACGTGCACGAAAAGGATTCTCTCGTCCTTGTTTTTTGTATATTTTTTGTGAGTAATATTTTGTGAGTCTTGACGCAAAATTAAACGTACTATCAGCGAATTTTGTCCATTATATTTTAATGCAACGAAACACTCGATTGCTTTGCAATAAATATTGGAAATCACTTGGCGTTGAAATTTCCCTTTAACTTTTTTAAAAATTTCTTTTTACTTTCTTACTAACGTAGTACGTAGTACGAATACTTATATCTACAACAATATATTGTAATAATAAAAAAAATTAAATAAAAGTTTTTATAAAATTTCATAAAAAGTATTTTGCACGTGCATGTACGCGTGCATATGCTGCTGCAGAGGAATTGTGTAGAAAACATCAGAAATATTTTAAAATATTCGATATCTATACGTGCTGTCAATGACGTTATTTATGCATATAAATGCATATCTCCGTCGCTCTCTATTCGGTTACGAACAGACCGTATAGAGGTATTTATGAATGCAACCATGATCCAAAGTCAAACGGAAATTGATATGCATTGACATTTATGCCTAGCATACGCTTGACTTGAGCACTTTCCCATCTCGAATTGCAGAAGTCAAGCGTAAGTAGCCATAGTGGCTGAGGAGCAGCTGCAAGTGCAAAATTAGTTCAAATGCCTGCATTTATCTTAAGATGAGATACTTGAGCAAGTAAACAGCAGTATAACACTATTATGTTAGTTGAACGCTTTCACTTGAGTGCATGTGTTGATGGACTGAAAACTTAGATAGAAATGCTTAAGGTGCATGTCTAAGTTCGTTGAATATAAATCGTTGATATATATTTATATTTACCTACTTTTCTATCCAATTGCAATTTCATAGAATATAATGGATGGATCATATTGTTCTCATTTCTAATACTCTTCTTTGCCTACGGGGAAGCTTAAGTTCGGCAATTATGCAATAAAATTATTACGTTAACAGTACGTGCCTTAAAATTATGAAGTTC